GCAGCTCCATGCTCAGCCCTGGCCCTGCTCCATGTCCCCCACAGAGGAGTGGGTCCGGCCGGTCATGAAGCGTGACAAGCAGGTCCTGCTGCACTGGGGCTACTACCCGGACAGGTGAGGGTCCCGGGGGGGTTGGGGGACTGCACCAGAGCCCGGCAGAGCCCCCCGTGCCCTCGGGGTGCCCCCCCAGCCTCGCGGGTGCTGCTCTCACCATCCCCCTGCACCCCCAGTTATGACACCTGGATCCCTGCCAGCGAGATTGAGGCTTCTGTGGAGGACGCCCCGACACCGGAGAAGCCCCGGAAGGTAACGGGGGGTCCCCCAGGCTGGGAGGGTGGCTGCAGCTCCCTCCCCTGCCCCCCAGCTGCCTGATGTACCCTTGCCCAACAGGTCCATGCCAAGTGGATCCTGGACACGGACACTTTCAACGAGTGGATGAATGAGGAGGACTATGAGGTGACGGACGAGAAGAGCCCAGTCACCCGCAGGAAGAAGATCTCGGCCAAGACGCTGACGGACGAGGTCAGAGCAGGGGACAAAGCCCTGGAGGGCGTGAGGGGGGTGTCTCTGCCTGGCTGTCCCACTCGGTCCCATCCAGGACCCCCCGTCCCTCCCAGGTGAACAGCCCTGACTCGGACCGGCGGGACAAGAAGGGTGGCAACTACAAGAAGCGGAAGCGCTCGCCCTCCCCCTCGCCCACCCCAGAGGCCAAGAAGAAGAACGCGAAGAAGGGGTGAGAGGGGTGGGGGGCAGGGTGGGCATGACCCTGGGGGAGCAGCCGTGGGTCAGGGGGTCCTGGAGTGCAGTGGTAACAGGACAGGGGGGTCTCTCCCTTCCCAGACCTTCTACCCCCTACAACAAATCCAAGCGCGGGCACCGCGAGGAGGAGCAGGAGGATCTGACCAAGGACATGGATGAGCCCTCGCCCGTCCCCAATGTGGAGGAGGTCACCCTGCCCAAGACAGGTCAGAGCGGGGGGCTGGCAGCCCCCCATGGGGTCCTGTCACCCCATACACATGGTCTGGGGGCCCATCCTGGGGGTGCTCAGCACCACATCCCCCCATCACAGTCAACACCAAGAAGGACTCGGAATCTGCGCCCGTCAAGGGGGGGACCATGACAGACCTGGGTGAGTCTGAGCTGCTGGGACTGGACACCATGGGGGTCACCTGGTAGTGCCCAAACCCACCCCCACCCTTCTCTCTTCCAGATGAGCAGGAGGACGAGAGCATGGAGACAGCTGGCAAGGTGAGGCCCTGGGCCTGTCCTCTCCTCCCTAGCCCAACACTCCTTCAGGGGAAGATGTTCCCACCCAGCACCAGGGTCACCATCACTGCATGGTCACTTCTTTCCTTGCCCTTCTTTTGGGGACAAAAAGGTCCCTTTCTGTCACCCCTGGGGCTGCAGGCAGCTTTGTCCTGGGCCACTTGCCTCATCCTTCTCTCAGGGTGAGGAAGGGTCTAAAAGGGAGACTCAGGACCCCCTCACCCCCACGGCACTGGTCTCTGGCAGGATGAGGAGGAGAACGGCACCGGGAGCAAGGGGGAGCAGGCCAAGAACCCCGACCTGCACGAGGACAACGTGACGGAGCAGACCCACCACATCATCATCCCCAGCTACGCTGCCTGGTTCGACTACAACAGGTATGGGGGGCGCTGGGTGGGGAACAGGGACACTGGGGGTGGATGAGGATGCCAAGGGGGGGTCAGGGCTGTGGGGCCTCAGATCGGACCCTCCCCCACCTCTCCCCCTGCAGCGTCCACGCCATCGAGCGCCGAGCCCTGCCCGAGTTCTTCAACGGCAAGAATAAATCCAAGACCCCCGAAATGTGAGCCTGGAGCCCCCAACCCCCTTCTCCATCCCTCCCAGCACCGGTGGGGCCACGGCAGGTGCTGACCCCTCGTGTGCCCCCCCAGATACTTGGCCTACCGCAACTTCATGATCGACACGTACCGGCTGAACCCGCAGGAGTACCTGACCCCCACCCCCCGCC